AAGTCCTTGACTGTCTACAGAAGTAAAACAAGTCCTACTTTAGAATTATACCCCCTGTAGTTAAGAACCTACACCTCAGAGGAGCACGTAGGGGCTTTAGTCCACACTCTGAAAGCCACGTTACTGATACAGCACCAAAACAAGCCCTATGTGCCCAACTCACCCTATGTGAAGTTTCTTTCACTGTGTAGCTGCTCTCAGCAAACTCTGATCTTTAAGCTCACGTGTGCCCCTCTCACACACATGGGTATGGCACTTCATTATCCTCTGTCCAGTCAAAAGGGTAATCAGCATATGACCAATTGCACAAACCAGCCTTTTTTTTAACCCCCCACGTGCCTATCTGTAACCTGATGTTCCTTACCTGACGTACCCATCCCAATTCAGTGAAGCAAACCTACTGAAGACAGACTGCAAGAGGTCTGAACAATTTCCCTGCCTAGTACAAATTAGAATTAATGTGTTAAATTCTCTAAGAGATAGTTATTTATTTAATACATCTGTTAGGTTTTATTTAAGGAAAAAATATAGCCCAAGGAGAAAGAAGCGGTATCAGTACAGAAGAAGAGATACGGAAGTATTTTGAGAACTAAACTAAAGGAATCCTCCTTCCCTCTGTACAACTTTTACAGTATCACTGAAAATGTAAGACAGTTATTGAAAGCAGGGAGTGAAAACAGGAACTGCCTTGTCCTACAAACCTGGGGCAAAAGCACCTTTTGCCTCTGTGTAGGCCCATTTCATCAGCCCAAGAGTAGATGACTTCATAATTTTACAGTGGAGGATGGGATTACCAGTAGTATCTTTAATACTATAACAGAAAGCAGTCCTACACCACCGCAAGCTCTCCTAGTTTTCCTGGTGAATGGCAGATAAGACTGCTGTTGCAACAGAACTGCCTGAGTGACAGATGACTTGGAACTTTATCACCAGATAAGCATAAAGCCATTCTCACAAAAAAAAAAAAAAAAGAAAACTGACCTATGATGATGCATCTAGCTGTTTAATCAGTAAAGACAGCTGAAGAGTTTATAAAGCACCATCTTGCCTTAACGAGATCACTTTTTGTGTGCATGTACCAGGGAGCCGCAAAAAAGATTTAGCATACTTGAGTTAAAAACAAGCATTTCTTAGAGGGCTCCATATGCTTGTGCGCATAACGCATGCAGGTTTTGTTGGGTTTCAGCTCAAGGCACTTCATCCAAGCAGTGACAAGTGCTCTTCCAGAGCTGAGATCTGGATGGCACTTCATCAAACCTCTGGTCAGAGCTTTACAGCTCCACTATCATCATCACCATCTATTTTGCACTACAGTCCTGTCTTGCTATTTTCTCAGTAGGCCACATTATATAGAAGTTAATTACCTGTCCTATCTCAACTATGTGCTTCAGTTCAGCTTTTAACCTTTAGTTTTCTTGTCTCTTCTCTGGGGTCTACAAAAGACAAGAGCTAAAAAACTTTTTGCTGTACTATTCTATATATGTTACAAAGCCATCTGCCTGGGCAAGCTTCTAGAAAAGCCCTTATCTCTACCAGCAAGCTGTCATGTTATTTTCACTTTTCTTAAGAAGTCTTTTCTCTCCACCAAGCAAAAACACAAATATATGCAAAATACATGGCCTACAACAAGAAGTTGTCCTGAAATAAGACTCTGATACCAGAAACTGCAGAATAACTTGTTTTCTTACACTTAGGTTTTAAAAATGCACTTGATATTTGTGAATATATGTGAAGAAAGAACATTTCATTTTGAAAATGTCAGTGAGTATTAGTGTTTCATATACGTAGGTCAAAGTCAAAACATTAAGAAGCTCTTCCATTTCTTAAAAAGGTTTTGCAATTTTTGCTGTAAGTAGTATTCTTAAAAAAAAAAAAAAAAAAAAAAAAAAGCTTTGTAGACATGAGAAACCAGAATATCTTAAGCAGACTTTTAAAAATCAGGTAGCAAGTCAGTCTTGTGTTCAAAGTCATGGCATAGAAGCATTTCACACACAGATCAGGAAGTTTAACAGATAACGCAGGTGCCTAAAAACATGCTTAACCAACAAAGTAACAACCAACCTTTAACTACTAAATACAGACCAGCAGTGTTAACTCACAACCAGCTAGAGTTGTAAGAACTGAAAGTTGCTGTCAAATATGTTTTTTGAAGCTCTGTAATAGACTTGTAAAAATAGACAGGGAAGATGAGCGTGACTCCCAGATCAGTAATTTAATAAATTTGTTTGAGAATACATTGTTTAGCGCTGCAGATGCTGTAGGTACAGATGACCAAGAAATAAAACTTGATGTAAGATTAAATATTTATAAAGATAGAAGGTCTAAATTTACTGAAGTCCCTCTTGAAGTGTTATGCTGTTACCATGGAAACATGCTGTACATCCACCTAAGCAGTTAGCACATATCTACATTTTCATTATTCAGCAACATCTATGATGCAAATTCCTTATCTGCGCAAAGTATTTCAGAAAAAAAAAGTCCAATTTATAATCTGGAAAGATTGTAGGCAAATTAAAAAATTCAGGCACCTATGGCAAAGAGATGGCACCTATTAAAAGGAGATGAATGAGTCAAAGACAAAAATAAGACAAATTTAGAATAGCAGCAGGTATTTGGCACATCAGTACAAGGATCAGATATTTTGTTTGATTTTCAGGCTAGAACAGAGCCTAAAAGCTGCACTTGGTGTCTTGTTTCCCTCCCATCCCAGAACAGGCACATTTTCTTAGATCTCCATGTCCGAAGATCCTGTCAGCTAAGCAGCTGTTACTTTCTGTTCTTGACAAATACCTAGCTCCCCACACTGAAATGGGAAAGATGGAACTCAAGTTAATACCAGTGTTTGCAAAATGCAAAGTCCCTAGAGAGTGCTCTTCAGTGTATTTGGGAATCTTACTCAGCATAGAACAGACCATGGTTAGCTGGCAACACTAGGAGCTCCCTTGATGGAAGAGACGCAGGTGTCATTGAACAGCTATTTGTAAGCTGCCTAGATCACCTACCAGTGGGAACTATCAGCTCTTTCACACCTATTTAGAAGAGGCAGTTGCCTTCTTCATCATGAAGATGAAAGATACAAAGGTAACTACAGCTTCCAGTAGCTGGAAAGGGACAGAACTATCTGTATATGTTTAAACAGATAAAGCATTAACATCTTATTTGTTTCACATAGCAGTTAGTTCTTTGCCACTCTTGCAGACATAGAGAGCATGAGTGGTTTGCTGTCCAAACTGGACAGACAGGTGGTTGTTTCATCCAGGTTCCTGCACTGTCTACACAATGGCAAGCCCGTGGAAAAAAACAGTAATTTCTTCTTCCTACTACCTTAAATCTTGTAATTCCGTATCTATTAATGTATGTTAGGTACCTAAGACCTTGAATGTTTCTCTTGTCTTCAGAGAAATTGAGTAGAAGGAAACACAAGTGGAGGAATACTGACCAACTGCAAGACATAAGAGATACTTGAAGAATAAAATTCTAGTACTTCTAGTGAAATGAATGAAATAAGTCATTCAAAAAGACCTAAAACACATCAGCAACAAAGTCTTACATTATCACCAGGTGAAACTATGTTACACATGCAGCTGGCACACAACAGTGGTGTACTAGAAGATGCTCAGGAAACTGGGCCAACCAGCCAAAGCACAAGAGTGAGTCAGTAACCTTGAACTGATAACACCACATTTTGTATGTGCAGAAGGCCTTTAAGAGCGAAGTCTGAAGGAACCTAAGGATCTGAAACTCGGTTATGAAAAAATGCTGAGACAACGCCTTCTATAGAGAAGATTCAGGACCTTGAATTTTACGTACTAGGCTATAAATCCAGATCACCTGAATTTAGTTGAAGGAAACTGCACATTTAAGGGGTCTCATTTTATCAGTCCACTTTTCTCTCCAGTCTTTTCTATTGCTCCTGGATTAATTCTGAAGTCATCACCACAAAGCCCTCTGAAGGTGGAGACATTTCCAAGCCAGTTTGGTTATCCTAATATGCGCCTAGCTAGATCGCCATGATTTTACATTAAATTGTCTCCAAATCCACGTTTATCTGTCAGACACGAAGCCTCGATGACATTCCTTTTAAAATAGCCTCAGGTAATCCGGAGCCGCGCAGGTGGACAAAATATATGGCCGTTTCATCACGCCAACCACAGCGACCTTAGCCCTTCCCCAGGCAATTCTTGCCACATCACACACTTAGATCTCTGACTTCGATTAATATTAAACTGCTCTCTCATGCAGGTCCCGGGGCTGGGAAGGAAGGCAGCCAGCCCCCAGCCCCACCAAGCCCTACACTTCTCCTCTCTGCCCTCTGCACCACAGCCCTACGCAGAGGGTCCCCGGCCCCCCTCAGGCCACGCTCCCTCAGCGATTACAACCGAGCAGATCCCAGGAGCTGCTTTCTATCACAACAGGATTTGAAAGCAGACTGAAGCCAAGCGTAAACACACCCAGCGAAGGCCCTGCTCGCTGCCAGCCTTCCAGAGGCCTGCTTTCCTTCAGGGACGTTTTGCATCGAGAGCCCGCTGCGGCTCTGAGAGGCGACCGCCGGTGCCCACCCCGGCCCCAGCCGCCCACCGCCGCCCTTTGGGATCCCCGACGGGCTCCGAGCCCCCCGGCACCCCTTTTCCACCGGGGCCTCGGCCACAACAAAGGGACAACCCCCCCACACAAACAAAATCAAGCCGGCCAGACCAAAAGAGCCGTGAATTAACCCCAAACCCGCAGCAGAAAGCCTTCGGCTGCCCGCCTCGAGCTCTCCTCCCCCCCCCGCATCTCCCGCCGCCCCCCCGGGGCGCGTCGCCATTTCGTGAGGCGGCAGAGCCGCGGGCGGCCCGGCGCGGCGGCCAGGGGGAGAGAAGGGAGCCGAGGGGGGGAGGACGAGGGAACCCCCCCCTACACCCCGGCCCCAAAACACCCGGTGATCGCCCGGCCGGCGCAGCACGGCACGGCCCTGCCCTGCCCAACCCAGGCCCCACCGCGCCCCGGCCGGCGCTCACAGTTGCGGATATCGGAGATGAAGACGGCCAAGCCTCGCATCCCATCGCCCTTCGACACCGCCGGCATGGTGGCGAGCGATCACGGCCGCCCAGCGCCGCGCCAAAGCACCGCAACCCCACCGCCGCTTCTCCCCGCGGGGCTCCTCAGGCCGCTGCCGCCGCCTCTGCTGCGCGCAGGCGCCGCGATGGCTCCCGCTCCACGGCGGGCGGCGGGCGGCGAGGCTCGGACACCCCCTGGCGGGCGGAGGCGGCGGGGACCCGGCCCTGCCCTCCCCGTGTCCCCCTCACGGCCCCCTCACGCCCCTCTCGGCACCCCCGGTGCCGGTGTTGGGGGCTGGTTTGTGGGGCACGGCCTGTAAGGGGTAAGCGGGAGCCGCAGGGTCCTTCTGCTGAGGCGTCGGTGTCTCCTCAGGAACGGCCTAATCCCTGCCTCACCCCCTGCCCCCGCTGGTTTTAGTGATGGGTGAAGGAGGAGCGTGTGGGTTTTGCCTCAGAGAGTGTTAGCTTCTGAGAGAGAAGGAGAGGGACAGCAGATCTGACAGGGAAGTAGGATTTCAGCGGTAAGTTTTGATCTAGGATCTTATTTCTGAAGTGTGGAGAGGGAGGTACTGACTCCTTACAGTAGGATACGTAAGACCATGGTTTCCCCAGCGCGGGCCAACGCAGGACGCATCTCAGTCCTACAGCGAAAAATGGGCCCCAAAAGCTGTGCATGGGATCTCCATCACAAGCCTTGCATAGTTAGAAGAGCTGGTACATGCAGATCCTGTCACAACCCCCTGGGGTAAGCAGTGCAGTTGCTCTGCATTACACGTGGCAATTCATGCTACCCTGGGCGTGCAGGTGTGCAAGGCCAGAGCCACATGTCTCCCTCGAAGGCCTATGAACCTGCAGAGCAACACAGTCCCACGCCACATCTGCTCCTGAGATGGAAAACATTTCAAGGTTAAACTTTCTTAAACACACCAAAGAGGTTGGACTGCACAGAGCATTTAATCTCACCAGTTGAAAATAGATTCAAAGGGTGTCAAAACTGGCCTAGTCCCCCTAAACCACAGTGTGTTGAGAGGTTCAGTCATAACACAAATTATTAGTAGACTTAGCAGGTTATAATGACCTCTAGAATCATGGGATTTAAGACTACTGGAGACCACTCAGGAATTTATTTAATCTGTTTTCTTGTATTCTTCAAACTATTTCATTTTGCACGGTTTTTGTTTTGTTTTTGTGTTTTTTTTTTTTTGTGTTTTTTTTTTTTTTTGTGTGTGTGTGTGTGTGTGTTTTTTTTTTTTTTTCTTCCCTGCATTGAGCCAAAAACTAGATTTTAGTCACAGTCCGTTGTCCAGAAAGGCATAGTTTTGATCTGACATCATCAAAAGGTACCAAATGTACTGTTTCTCTGGGTAGTTTGTTCCCATGGTTAATGCTCCTCATTTAAAGCTCGCATCTTACTTAAATTTATCAAGCTTCAGTGCCCATAAGTTAATGATATATTTTTCTCTCATAAATAGAGAGCTATGCAATACTTGATACTCTTTTTCAGATAGTGGTGGCACACTTCAGCCAGGTCACCTCTCAAGTGTCTTTTCTGCATGTTTTCAGGATACATTTTTACACCAGTGCTTTTCAGTTGGATATTTATTAGAAAGAGAAAATGATAGCATCTGGTAGTCAGGAATGTGTCCTTTCCTCCCTGGGCATAGTAGACCAAGTGCAGCTAGTGGCAATTGTGCACAATGCAGCTGCTCTGGATAAGGAAGTTTAGATGAAGAAAATTGTGCTTTTTCAGAGTTTTATAATCAAATACTGATGTTTAACTATAATTTCCATTTACCTTCAAAGCTGAAAACTTAAGATTTCACTACATAGGAATTCCTTTTTTCTGAAAAACAAACAAACAAACAAACAAATATTAGAGTTAAACAAAATAAGATGTTGAACTAATTTCTACTCTTGAGAGCAGAGTGACACTTAAAGGCTATGTATATCAGTTCTGTCTGGCTGCATTCCAGTCAACACTGCAGCTGTAAGATGTGCAGGTACACTTAAGCAACCTTTTAAGAAGGAACTTAAATACAGCTAGTGGAATAGCTGTGGCAGTACCAATCACGTTATGGGTTGTAAATTCTGTTTCAGAAGGGGAGTAAATATTCAAATAGAAAACCTACGTGGAGCTCTTTAGTGTTATAACTATTTCATTTTTAACTGACTCAGTATGCAGTACGCATTCCCCAGTTATTTTATATCCACCTCCTTTGACTGACATTTCAGTCTTTACTATACACATTCTTGCTCTCTTTTTTTTTTTTTTTTTTTTTTTTTTGCGTCAACAAATTCTTATGCAATTATGGTGAATGCCCCTACTTCCTCTTAATTTAGAGCTCACTAGCCAATTTCAGACAGTTTTGGTAGGGAGAAGATAAAGATTTTACATGAATAAACAGCCAGTTAGAGGAAAGAGAGCTCGTAATGGTCTCTAGATGCATTCTGACTGAAAGAAATGTAATGCGAGCCCAATGCGTTATTAGAGAGCACAGAGTTCACACTAGATACCCCTTACAAATGACCTAGTTGATATATCTGGAAAATGTTTCAGTTTGAGCTCAACATCTACAAAACACCAGTTTGTGAGAACCCAGACTTCATCAGTTCCATATATCTCAAGATGACGTGATATTTAGAGATTGCCAATTTCCAAAAAATCAGCATTAAAGTGGAAATAATATCAAGAAATGCTTTCCTATTATGCAAGATATTTTACAGCACATTTGTTTGCCAACAAATCCACAATGTCTATATCCTCCCCAAGTCATCCATAAACTGCTTTAATCTTTTTCAGAATTTCAATATCCTTTGGTACAAAGACTTGAAAAATCAGTCTGACCTTCACAAAATTAATACCATTAAGCTGACTGGTTTCAGCTGGTGAGTATCTATCTGCTTGTGGGAACTACAGCTTTTTCTGCATTTCTTTTTCTGCCTGACATTTAGACCTGAGTGGTGGCTTACAGACGAGTTCATCTCCTGCTCTGGAGCTTTAACTGCTGTGCACAGTGTGGCTTCCTCTTTAGTTTCTGAAGCCAAAATATGATTCATTTTTGAGTATGATTACACATCATTATGAGGAATTTTAACACCAGAAATCATCCAACACTCAGAATAATTTACAGCCCATACTGTGCTTGGTGCTGCCACAGCTCTTCTGCTACCTACAGCTACTCTTCACCCCTACCTGACTATCTGCCAAAATCACACTAGAATAATTTGGACAGCTTTGTGCTTAGGATATGAAGTCATGCACTGTGGTATATAGCTGGGTTGCCAGCTTTTCCTACCACCTTAATGAATTTCTAGACAGAAAAAGGAAATTGTTCCTTTTCATTTGTTACTTCTGTCAGATTTGTCCCTCACCCCATCAGTTTTCTTCTCCTCCCCATGGTCATTCTAACCATAATGGAAGCAAAAAGATCTAAGGAGAAAATAGAATTGGTTTCTCCTTCTGTACGAATACTCAATCATGTTTCTCTACCTGATATCTAACATTCATTATCTATTAATGGAGAGCATAGGTTTATCAGCAATGTCTTCTGCCACTCCAGAGTATCAGATGTGCTGCTTTCAAGATTAAGAAACACAAAGTTAGGATAATATTGATATCACGAAGCCGTACATTTCTAGAAATTAGATATGGATCTATCTAGATCTTTTCTTTACAGTAAGCATCTCAATGACCCAAACAGTTTTGCAAAAACATAAAATAGAATATTTAAGCTTAAAATAAACTCAAAGAGAATAGACAAGATAAAATGAGGGTGAGCAAAGGGTCTATGGACAAGTTCCCCTTTGTCACCTGCATGGTGGCAGGGTAGTGCCAGGCAGCTAGGTAGCTTTGTGAGTTGCAATAAACTACATATAATTCCTTCTAGCTCATAGGAGTGTTTTCTTTTTCCTTTCATCTCTGAGGCCTTGTTCTGTTCCTTGTACCTATTTCTCTCAGCTGTCTTTCTCTTTAGCTACAGGCTTCCAAATGAGGCTATAGACTTCATTTCTTGCTGAGAAACCATTTTTATTTCCAAGCCTTTTTTTCCTGAGTATGCACAGTTACTCTCCAGGAAAGGAGCACACTTCTACTCTCCCCCAGGTGTCCTATCTTACTCAGGCACTATTTTTCAAAGGAATAGTAGTGTACAGACTGAAAACACAGAAGTAAAAGAAAGATACCCCCCTCTACCACCACCACCACCCACTTTTTTTTTTTTCCCCTTGGTAAAATGTGAGTCTCTGGAAGGACTCTCCAATACCTGGTAGATGTGTTAAAACTTCGGGTGCATCGTTACATCTAAGAGTAATGATCTGTGATTCTATTACAGGCAGCATGTACCATGTCAACTACCTGCAGCAAATCTTTGGATCTGCCTCACTAGGCTATGAGAAAGAGTGTCAGCAGGACGGTATAGTAGGAACGCAACACAGGAAATGACAGATTTCATTATAGAGAAGCTGGAAACAAACCTAATTTTTCATCCCCTCCTGCCTTATCTCTGTCTTTCCTGCTATTGAGCAGTGTATCCTGGAAATGTTTAAAGTTTGTGAAAGATGAACAACATTTACAAAACAATAGAAAATACAGTACCCAATAGATTGCGACTTCAAGTACTGCAGTTACGCACCCTTTAAATTTGGGCGAGTTTGTATTTAAAAATGTACACTTTTACACATGCCTATTATGCAGTCCTATAAGATTAAAAAGGCACCACTTCTTCGTTGGAAGCTGAAGGTTTGAGAGATGTTTTGGTGACTAAAAAAATAGGATGAGGACATTCCTTTTTCTTGCTTTTTAGTCTGCAAGGGTGTGGGTCCAAACCTGCTAATAAGCATCAGTTTTATTTCTGAAGTCCTTGTGAGAATTTAAGAATTTAGGGTACAGAGGAAACGTACATGGACTCAGCTCTTGCCAGAAGGACCATGCATCTGGTTCACGGACAATACTTTTGTCCAGAGGAAAAATGCTTCTACTTTTCTATTCAATGATGAAGAATGTTCATGGTGATCTTAATTATATAAGAAGGAAAGAAAGAGATGGATAGATCAGGAAAACTTGCAGTTCTGCTTCTGGGAAGTGACACCAAGCTCTTAACTAACGCAGAAAGTAGGTCTCAGACAGGCTTCTGCTGGGAAGCACAGTGCCAAACACGCTAAG